TGTAGATAACATACAGGTCAATCGAAACGTAGCTTAGGGCTGTTTAATTAATTGGTGTTACCACCCCACATAGCAGTTCCAACAATTGGGGAGAAATTTTGTTACATAGCTCCCCTCTTAGCCCGAATCGTCCCTTGAATCGAATATAAACTTTACACATAAATAACGAAATTTCTTTAAGATAACAATAAGCCTAATCGAAGGGTCTACTGTGCCTCCGATTTTATTACTCATTGACATAAAAGTCTAATCGAAGGGTCTACTGTGCCTTCGATATGATTACTTGTTGACGAACTCTGACAGAGGGTCTAGTGTGCCTCTGTGTCATTAACTAATTTAAATAATTATGAACTTTTTTTTAATTAAAAACACAAAACAGAGTTTAACTATGTCCTCTGACATAGAAAGTGTACTCCACCTCGTCTTAAACTTCAATAACTTGAGAAAGTATCGCCCCTTGTATTCCCGGCAGGTCTGATTCCAACTTCCGCTCTGTCTTTAACTGGTTTTAAGGCCGACAACATGGCAGGTTTCCCTTTTTTAACACAACAGATTTTTGGAGCAGGCCAGTGTCCATTGTCTCCTCTACTAATGTTTCTGAACCGGAGAATAACTGCAAAATTTTCCCTCACCATTCCTGAACTGCAGGCCTAGCATCAAATTCAGTATCCTTCTTTACTTTTTGGACCACCGCTCGACCTATCATGACTCATTTTTTTTACTAATTTGATTTACTCCAAAATCACCTCAGGGATATTAATTTCTGATATTTCCGATCACTTGCCTATCTTTTAAATTATTCAAAATTTTACTTTAAAGACTAAATAATCTGATGACTACTTTAGGCCTATATATAATATTGATAATGAGTCCGCTTTAATTTCTGATATGGCAAGAACTGCAACCCTGCATATGAAATGTTTTATTCTACCTTTCAATCAAGGTTAAAATAAAAGCAACTAAGTATTCATGGATAACATCAGCTATTCTAAAATCTAGCAATAAAAAACATCTGTTATATAAGAAGTTCTAAACCCTCCATTGAAAATAGAAAATCATATTGCAATTATCATGATATTTTTGTAAAAATTTGTGAAAATGCCAAAAAAAACTGTTTTCATAAAAAGCAATGTTAAAAATAACTTGGAATGTAATAAATACGATTATCACACCAAGAAACCATACGAAAAATCATATTACAAATAACATGTTCCACCTTAATACAGTACTAAAATTTTAGGCACTCGAAATATAATACTTTAATGGTTAGTTCATAAATATTACTAAAAACTCCTCTGTTATTGAAAACCCAATGGATTATTTTAATAATATAATTCTATAACTAATTTTTATTATTCCAATCATTGATCAAGAAGTTCTTGATTGTATATTTTACTTTACGTCATCAAATAGCTTTGGACATGATATATACCTCTAAAAATTAAGCTTTTTGCAAATGCAACAAATGTGATAATGTTCACCAATAACTCACTTTTTTAATCTTTGATTTAAAAACAGGATTGTTCCTGACAGCTTGAAAATTGCAAAAGTGATACAAATTCTCAAAAAGGGTGACAAAACTGATATCTCTAATTACAGACCAATTTCTTTTCTTCCAGTCTTTTTAAAAATACTCAAAAAATGTATGCACTCTATAGACTATATAGTTTTCTTGATATGCTCTCAATATGGTTTTTGTAAAAGGCACACAACTGAACATGCAATTATTGAATCAGTTAGTAAAATCTTGGATTCATTCATAGCCGTCAAGGTCCCATTCAATGGAATATGTGTCCCAGTTATTTAACAGAAATTACAAATACATTTAAGAGGAAACTGAAGATACCCTTTATGTCCAAATATATATAGTCAGTAAGTCATTGAAGTTACTTTTTGTCATTGTTATTGTAAATCCGGTTCCAGGGCTAGCGGAGACAAGTTTACTTCTAGGCTAGTCCTCATCGAAGCCCTGTGCAATATTTCCTGGCTGCAATAAATTTGAATTTTTTTTTAGGATCACCTTATCCACTCTCAGCTATGTATAAGCCTCATTCATCCTCAGCTGTTCATACGGCTCATCAATCATAAAACGGAACAGTAGAGAAAATCCGATCAGAATGACAAAATAGACTAAGCATCCACTGGAAGGAATCCCAATATCTGCAGACGGATCCGTTTCGGCCTTCCAGGCCTCATCAGTGCAGCTAGGGTACAGACCC